AATAATATTCAGTGTACATTTAAAATTACAATGAACATCTTACTATAGGAAAGACGCTATTACGATGTGTGTAACACAGGTGACCTGAAGATCGAGACTTGGTTCATCCTGTAGTCCAATGAGAAAGGCGTAATGTATTGAAGGAAATTTCGGGTTATATCTGCCGCATGTCGGACGAGTCGCGTAAATGGATTCCCAAATTCAGAAAACGACCAGCAGCAGCGGCAGGCCGACTAAAGCGTCGATAGAGAGACGAGTTAGATGCGTACCTAAAAGACTGGACCTCAGTGACGCAAAACAGAGACGTGTATAGAGAGGGAAGAGAAACCTTTGACCAGCTGCAGCGGGACAGTATAGGCTTTAAAAACACAATTGGAGGAAAGCATTTCCCAAAAAAGGTAACACGAGCTATGTCTGTAAGCTATAAATAATTTGTTTATATTGTACTAATGTGTGGTTGTTTCTTATAATAGCAAGGTTACTGAACTTGTAAACTAGATTATGTTTTATTTTTCTTTTTATTTATTTTTTTATACGTGACAGGCAGATTCTCAGACTCCACTCTCCCTGACGTTGAATGGAAAATGGATTTCAAATTTTAAGGAACCTAGTGCATTGCCCTAGCCACCTTCACCCTACATGCCTACAACGTGCCTCTTCACGCCTCGTTTGAAGATCCCAAAATTGTAAGGAATACGTGCTCTGGAAGGAAGTTCCATGTGACGACTGTGCGACAGAGGAAGGTGCCACCAAACCTAAACCTTTTTAGTTCGTGACTGAATGCGGCAAGGTGTTACGGATTTGTGAGTTAAGTTTTTGAAAAACTAATGCATGACATTTAAATATCTATTTACTTGATATTCAAATATTTTTTTGTGAAATTATTCCTTTAGTTTGTTATAATTATATTAGTACAAAGATCGATAAAAAAAAAAAATCCTTCGATCCGGCCGGATTTGAACCGACGTCGCTTAGCAAACCGTGCCAGACGCTATGCCAACTAAGCCACTAAGCCAAGATCTAGGTATTTGGTTTTCAACGACTTTTAGCCTTAGCGAAATCAGAATCTGAGATGAGAACTCTATGAAAGTATTTTGTCACCCAGTTAGATATCTTTACAGCTACCGCCCTGGCTATAAATTTCGCTATTAACTATAATTAAATTTCTATTGAACTTCAATTACTTTTTGTGGAATTACTCCACAAGTTTGTTATAATTATTAATACAAAGATCGAGTGCTTAGAAAAAACTGACATTGTTTTTGCTCTACAATATATCGTGCCGTGTGTTTCCTTATGCTATCTCGCAAAGGCAGCAACTTTGAGTTAAGTGACTCTATTCTTTTTTTCTTGCACGATAATTCATTAATCCTGTAAAAAGGGTCCAGATTGAAACGGAGTGGTAATTGTGCAATTATTCACAGGGATCCACTTCTCAGCAATAATGAAAGGTACTTCTATGACAATTAAAAATTCGACTTTTTTTTCTGTTCTTCAAATTCTTTTACTGTCGTTTTTCGTTGCTCAACCTTCTTTAAAAACTGTTTTTATGATATCAAGTGACGAGACAAACATAACAGTTGCAGTGCCACTTAGTGCTTTAAATCGCGAAGACCTGATGAGCACTGCCACTGCGTCAGCCATCCTGAAACGTAAGTTGACAAGTCCCATGTGCCTGTAATTTCACCAACACGCTTACCCTTCGAAATTGGAAAGCATTAATGCTTATATTCCTACTTGGCTGCAGAAACAGGTAAGGTGGCAGTACTACCCTGGACAAACTCCTTCACAAGGACCGCTACTGCTACTCAAGCTTTTGTTCCAGATCTTAGTTCGATTGATATGCACGAATAATGAAAAAAGAAGAATTTTTGAACTATCTCGGTTTAGAGACCATCATATCAAACTATATATTGTGTAACCTCCAGTAAAGATATTGTAGTGTGTGCCGTAAAAGTGAATCATTTTTGTCTCGTTTTCATATAAAATCCTGCGTCAGTATATCCCAAGTTACCATAACGTTTGGACACATGTCTGCGAAAGCTTTTGCGTGGAAACAAAATTGACAAATCTCACTTTGATATTATTATGTTATTAACCGACTTCAAAAAAGGTTAGGTTCTCAATTCGACTGTATGTTCTTTTTTTATTTTTTTGTATTTATGTTACGCGATAGCTTCGGTATTTGTGAACCGATTTTCATGATTCTTTTTTTGTTGAAATGGGGTACTTCCATAGTGGTCCCATTTTGTTTTGCAATGCGATGCAATTTTATGGAGCAATTATTTTAATGGTTGATTTTGCTATTTCTCCAATTCAAGGCGCTTTCTCTCAATAGAGTAGTGAGCACCGATTTTTATTATCTCCTGTGTCAAGTCCCGTATAGTGGCGAACTAGGGGATATTTCAATAAAACTTGGCAAATAGACGTAATTCCACGTACTTTTGAGGTCGGTTTTTTTAGTACTCTGTATTGAGAATATTATAAAATATTGTTATTCTAAATTGAAAGTTACTCCATATTATTATTATATTAAGCAGCAATGAGCTCCGTATGAAAGGGATCATCGAGGGAAGTACTGCCACCTTACTTATATCAGCCACCAAGCAGTAATTACGAGCATACTACGTTCCGGTTTTGAAAGGTAAGTGTGCTACTGACTTGCCAATTTTATGTTTCAGGGTTACAAGCGCAGTGGCGTACACCTCAAATCTTTGCTATTTGAAGCTTCGTGTGGCAAAATAAAAGGATTATATTATAGTTTAAAACCACCCTAATAAACATGAAACAATTATAGGTAACTTTAACGCTAAATTTAACTCGCGTTTTCAAATTACGCGTCTACCCACGCGTGTATATTCATATACTTTACGTACGTTCGTTGATATGTACTTGTAAGCGCGGCACTGCGCTTTAACCGCCGCGTTTAGAGGACATACCTCAAAACGCGCGTCACCGCTGCTGACGCGCGTCGCCGCGTGTTTGGAATTATAGGCACTGAGATAGTGTTTGTTCAGATTATCTCGTGTTATTGCCACCATCTATGAGTGACGAAATATCATAGATTTCTATATATGGCGCTGCGGCAAAAAAGATAAATGGCGTTACGGCTAAAAAGTCATTGAAAAACCAAATACAAAGATACGACTCAAGCACATAGAAAAATTCGTGAGGTCCGCTGGTTCGTTTCGTGGCTTAGTTGGTATAGTGTCTGGCAAGGTATCCTAGAAGAAGTCGGTTTGAACCCGGCCGGATCAAAGGAAACATTTTCTGAGAGTCGATCTTTGTATTAATAATTATACCAAAAAATATTTTGTAAAAGAAAACATGGTTCATTGACCTATGGTTCATCGAAAGAATATAATATTAAAAATTCAACAAACGTTCACGGAGATTAGTTCTTTGTTACAGCACTACGTGCATATACATATTAATGTACGTGATTGTGTAATTTAATTTTGCCGGGAAATACGAAATAGGCAGGCACATTGTAATATGCCTTTAGGATAGGCTAAATGGCAGAATAGAAAGTTATGGTTTAATTTAAACAAAAGAAGCGGATTCGGATGTGATACAAGTTTGATCATATCCGCATCGACAACTTATTAGTTAGGCAGCCAGTTTGAGAGAACCTATGTACGGACATCAGACAACACATTTTTGTTCGAAAATCGCCTCCAGTGCAACGGAACAAGATACGTCAATGTGTAACTTGATGTGCTGGCGTACACGTACACGCATGTTGTACCTACCCCTTTATAACTGTTCTTAATAAACATTGGTAGCCAGATTGCCTCTTCGGCCAGCCATCAGTAGTCAAATTCAGTGTAACAGAGTTGACCTGAAAGTAATGGTTTAAAAGAAAAGTAACAAAACAACAGTTGAGTGCATGCGTGCGTGCGTGTGTTTGTGTGTGGTAGCACTCCCTGGACAGCTGCAGTATTAACGCCAACCCAATTACTTCCGAAGCCCCTATACCCCCTAGCACTCTTCAGCGCCCACTGGAGGAAGCGGTAGGGGCCACTTTGGGAAACTGTAAGTTAGAGGGTAGAAGACAAGTATATTGTTTAATTTACTACATAAATAAAAAAAATATGTAATGAATTTTGAACTTTCAATCAAACATATCATTCGATTGACAAGAGGAATATCTGGCGCCTTTAGAAATAAATATTTTCGATATTGCTCTTGCTCCGGGCCGAAACTTACACACTTCATAAACAGTCTCACCGGTCAACGACCTGTGGTGTTCCCTCAGACCATTACAAGATTGCCGTTACAGTAGAGCTCCTTGTTAATGAGTTTATCCAGAGAAGTATTGCCACCTTATCTATTTCTGTCGCCAAACAGTAATGTTCATATTACTGCGTTCCAGATAAGGGTGCTGGTGAAATTACAGACATAAGGTACTTGTTAACTTATGTCTCAAAGTAACGTGTATAGTGGTAGTGCCCCGCAGATCTTTGCGATGTAAAGCTCTAAGGAGCCTCGTAGCTTGGTGTCATAAAAAAAGTGAATTTAGACTACATTTTCTTTTTCTTCGGTTTTTAAAATCTTAGTCTTCCTGCTCTTATTACATTACTTGGGGTGGGCGCTACGTTTTCTTCTTCTATTCATCTCTGTCACCCGCCAACGCCTTGTTCACACCCTTCAAACACAAATCATCTTTTTTATAATAATATAAGTGTAAATTCTTATATAGGTAGGTTATTACTTATGTAGTGATCCTATGTTTCAACAGCAATCCATACCATGGCTTTGGAGCGTAGTCACTATGCACGTGCTACAATGTTTATATTTGATTTTTGCTTGATTTTGTGGGGTACCTACCGGGTGATGGTTAATGGAGAAGTCTTGTTTATAGCTTGGAGGTAGGTTTATTGAACAGTTACCACACACGTCACCATCACGTCGGGGTCGGTAGGTACCCCACACAGTGGTGACCCCGCGAAGGACATTTACCACGTGAATCACCGAACTAAACTCGTGTAAATTCCAAGATGGCGGAAAACAAAGACGGCTTCAAAACACCGCCGTCGGAGCGCGCATCGCCAGGGCCGCACTCAGACGAACCGCAGAGGGACCTCTTTCGAGTGTCGGTTAAGGTACCTGAATTTTGGGCCGACAGACCAGATGTATGGTTCGCACAGCTAGAGGCTCAGTTCGCCTTGGCGAGAATCAATGACGACACAACAAAATTCTACCACGTAATTTCACAGTTGGGCAACCAATACACAGCTGAAGTTCTAGATGTCATTCAGGCGCCTCCAAGCACCGGGAAATATCAGAAAATTAAGGCAGAGCTAATAAGACGACTATCATCATCCCAGGAAAAGAAAATAAAACAACTTCTCAGCCTCGAAGAGCTAGGCGACCGCACACCATCGCAGTTTTTAAGACGTATCCAGAGTTTGGCAGGACCCACGGTACCGGAAGACTTTATACGGACGATGTGGTCGAGCCGCTTACCGCACAACGTCCAGACAATAGTGGCGATGCACTCAGAAACTCCCCTAGCAAAGACCGCTGAAATAGCCGACAAAATCTACGAGCTGGCTCCACCATCACCCCAGGTAGCTGCCGCCAGCACGAACCACAGCGACATTCCACCTTACATAACAGAAATGACAAAGCAAATCGCAGAACTCACCAAATGCGTTGCGGAATTGTCAACCAGGGGACGGCAGAATAACCGAGGCCAATTGCAGTCTCGCCGCCGCAGCTCATCGCGGAGGCGATCGCCGTCTGGTCAGCGCTTGTGCTGGTATCACTGGCAGTTCGGCGACGAGGCCAAAAAGTGCAATCACCCTTGCAGCTACAAACCGGGAAACGCTTCGGGCAGCCGGCAGTAGCGGCCAGCGACTGCCCCTCTTCATCCGGCCGCCTTTTCGCTACCGACCGCAAAACAAAGATCCAGTACTTGGTGGACACGGGATCCGATCTTTGCGTCGTTCCACTCACCATGGCTAAACACCTGAAGTCCCCAACGGAATACAAATTGTATGCAGCCAACGGCACGATCATCCCAACATATGGTTTCGCTCACCTTTCTCTGGATTTTGGACTACGCCGCGAGTTTACGTGGAGGTTCGTCGTGGCAAAAGTAACGAAACCCATAATCGGCGCCGACTTCCTTTCTCATTACAACCTGCTAGTAGACTGCCGCTACCAGCGCCTTGTCGACGGAGTAACATCCTTGACCACCAACGCCGCCCCGGTCAAGCCTTCAGAGACTGTCTGGTCGATTAAAACTTGCAGTACACAATACGGACATACAACATTCCACACAATCCTGAACGAGTACCCCAACTTAACGAGACCATCAGGAATGCCCAGAACGTACCAACACAACACGGTGCACTTTATAAAGACCACACCAGGACCTCCGGTATCCAGCCGACCAAGACGCCTACCACCCGACAAGCTCCGTATAGCCCAAAGAGAGTTCGAGGAAATGTTGAAGAACGGCACCACTCGCCCATCGGATAGCCCATGGTCATCACCTTTACACCTGGCCCCCAAAAAAGACAATAGCTGGCGACCATGCGGCGACTACCGCGCGCTAAATGCAAGAACAGTGCCAGATAGATACCCAATTAAGCACATTCACGACTTCAACGCAAACTTAGCCGGCGCAACCGTGTTTTCAAAATTGGATTTGGTCAAAGCATATAACCAAATACCGATCTACGAACCAGATATCCCTAAAACGGCCATAGTTACACCATTTGGGCTATACGAATTCCCCATGATGACATTTGGCCTGCGCAACGCTGGCCAAACGTTCCAACGCTTCATAGACGAAGTCATCAGAGGCCTCCATTTTTGTTATGGTTACTTAGACGACATCTTGGTATACTCACGCAATCGACAAGAGCACGAATGCCATCTACGCCAACTTTTCACACGTCTGGATCAGTACGGGATGCTCCTCAACCCGTCGAAATGCGAACTAGGAGTAGAAGAAGTCACGTTCTTGGGCTACAACATCTCGAAAGACGGAATAAGGCCCCTGGAAGAAAAAGTCGAAGCCATAAGAAGATTTCCAGAACCTAAGAACATCAGAGACCTCAGGAGATTCCTGGGCATGGTTAATTTTTATCATCGATTTGTACCACGGTCCGCCCAACGACAAGCACCTCTAAACGCTCTCCTGAAAGGCCCCGTTAAAAATTCACAGCCCATACAGTTTTCGGAAGAGGCTCAACGGGCGTTCGAAGACTGTAAAAATGGGCTATGTCAAGCAGCAATGCTAGCACACCCCGAGAGCAACGCAAAGCTGTCCTTGGTCACCGATGCTTCGGACACAGCGATCGGAGCAGTACTGCACCAACTGAAAAACGAAGCTTGGGAACCGCTGTCTTTCTTCTCCAGAAAACTATCTCCCACTCAAGCTAAGTATAGTCCATACGATAGAGAACTCCTGGCAATCTACAAGTCAATACAATATTTCAGACACATGTTGGAAGCAAGGGTGTTCACAATATACACCGACCACAAACCCCTGACACACGCCTTCCAGTCCAGGCGTGACACATGCTCTCCGCGTCAGTTCAGATACCTGGATTACATAGCACAATTTACGACAGACTTACGACATATATCAGGCAATGACAACGTGGTTGCCGACACACTGTCCAGAATCGAGGCCGTAGCCGCCGTAGATTACGCAGTTTTGGCTAAGGTACAAGAAGACGACCCGGAGCTGCTTAAACTACTTCAAGGCGGATCAGCATTAAACCTGCAAAAGATCAAATTGTCAAGTTCAAATCTGCCTTTGTACTGCGACACGACGACCCCGTCACCCAGGCCGTTCGTAGTAGAATCCATGAGACGCCAAGTGTTCGACGCTATGCACTCCCTAAGCCACCCCGGGGCAAACGCGACAATCAAACTGGTCACACAGAGATTCGTCTGGCCAGGAATGCGCAAAGACTGCCGAGCATGGAGCAAAACTTGCTTACCGTGTCAGCGCTCAAAGACCAGCCGACACGTATCTTCTCCACTTGGAACCTTCTTACTACCCCCTGCCAGATTTCTCCAAGTCCATATCGATCTAATAGGACCATTACCCCTCTCCAACGGATTTCGCTATGCCCTCACAGCCATCGATAGATTTACACGGTGGCCTGAGGTCATACCACTCGCCGACATCACGGCCGAAACCACCGCTAAGGCTTTTCTAGAAGGATGGATATCTCGCTACGGCTGCCCCAAGAGCATAACCACCGACAGAGGTCGGCAGTTCGAGTCGCACCTATTCTCCGCACTAACTGCACTTACCGGCTCGCAACATAAAACGACGACAGCATACCACCCGGCCTGTAACGGCATTGTCGAAAGATTCCACCGCCAACGGAAATCAGCAATTACATGCCACGCGGACCGACAATGGACGGAATCTCTTCCAATGGTACTGCTAGGAATACGCAGTGCCTGGAAACACGATCTCCAAGCCTCAGCTGCCGAGCTACTGTACGGCGAACCACTCCGTCTCCCGAACGAATTTTTTAATGTGAACGTAGAACCCATAGTAGACATATCCGACTACGTTTCACGCATACGTACGTTTGCACAGAAAATCAGGCCGACGCCCACCTCACGCCATACCGAAAAATCAATTTTCATATTCAAGGACTTAGCCACTAGCGAATTTGTTTTCTTGCGAGACGATACTGCAAGAAGGCCGCTACAACCCTCATACTCGGGCCCGTACAAAGTTCTCCACAGAACACCGAAAACCTTCATCATCCTCATCAAAGGCAAGAATACAACGGTGTCCATAGACCGCCTCAAACCAGCATACCTACTGAAAGATGACCCGCAGAAGCTCGACACAGCAATACACAATACAAAGAACACAGAATATACCACCAGGTCAGGGCGTCATGTAAGATTTCCAGACTACTTTCGCCCGTAGTTACGGTCTCGGCGGGGGAATAGTGTGGGACCACTCAACCACTCCAATTCCGGCCCTGCATCGAGTACGGCCCTGCGCCGTCACGAGCGCCGGAGCATGCGGCCACTGCGTGCGCGCCCGAACCAGTCGCCGCTAGACACTCGCTTCGTACCTACGTCGCTTTGCTGCGCGCGCGCCTATTTACGTGCTGACGCTTTCCTAGCCTCCTAAGCTTTACCCAGTGCCTGCTTGTGCTCTTTCTTCACTATCGCCTGCCTGCTAAGTGCTGTTCTCTGTGTTGGTGACTTATGTACTTATGTGTGTGGTAACTGTTCAATAAACCTACCTCCAAGCTATAAACAAGACTTCTCCATTAACCATCACCCGGTAGGTACCCCACAATTTAAGCCTCTTTCAAATAGTATGGATGTAGCGTTTTAGTAATTTTTAGTTCTCTTTTTATGACACCAAGTCACAAGACGAGCAAGTCATGCGCCTGGTCTTAAGCAACACGCCTGTGCAGTTGCAGTACTACTCAGAGCTTAAAATGGCAAAGATATGAGGGACACTGCTACTGCACCTGTCACGCAGTGATATAAGTTGATGAGTCCCATGTGCCTGCTTACCTTTCAAAACCGTAACACTGTAGTGCTCACATTACTGCTTGGTGGCAGAAATAGGTATGGTGGCAGTACTTCCACGAACAAACTCTTTCACAAGGAGCTCTACTATTACAAAGAAAAATGTTAAAAAATTTTACTAATTGTAACTGCAAAAGTAGCGCGCGCATGTCACGACACGACACGACAACTAAATATTGTATAAAAATTAGTAATAGTGCGGTTGCATCGCCACAATGGCGCAGCTGTAGGGTTTCTATAAGAGACCCCGTAGAGACCCTCCGAACAGAGCGTCTTGCCAACGCACGCCCAGCGTCAACACGACGTCCAACGTCGACGTCGAACGCAACGTCAGCGCAGCGTATACCCGACGGTCGGCACTTTTCGGCAGTCTCTCAGTGCTAGCGTTGCGTCCACAAATTAGTTAGGAATACTACGTTGCTTTGCCGCCGCGCGGACACCGTGTCGACACTGTACGTGCGTTGGCAAGACGCTGACGCTCGAAAGACGCTAGTGTGGGAGGTCTCTAAGCGTCTAATTTAAAGGCGCTCTAAGTCGTGCGCCTGGTGGTAAGCGATACGCCTATCTATAACAGTGATATTCAGAGTTTTATATCGCAAAGTTCTGAGGGGCTCTGTCACTGCGCCCGTCACACTGAAACATAAAGTTGACTGGTTTGTGTTTATAGTTTGAACAGCACCCTTCAAAAGTAGAACGTATACATAGGGCGCACTATAAGTTTCCGGAACTGGCCACTTACATAAACAATATTTAAAAAGTAATTACAACATTTGAAAATGGAACTCTGGCTGTAGAATACAGTTTGTTTCATCTGACTGTCACTTGTTTTTACATTGTGGCGTCATTTTAGAAATTGGTTGTCTACATCAGCATTGATTTAAGCGTAATTAACAGGTCAGCGGAGCTTCGCTCGGGTTCAAGCTGCTTTTGCCGATGAAGCACGACGACTATTTTTGACGACTATTTATAGCTGATTTGCAGAATCCAAACGTGGTCGTGTGAATCTCATGATGACGAATTTATTAATTTATGTAGTGAACAACAAAAACGTCGATGCTGTGCGCCGTATGATCAAAACAGACAGGTATGTGACATACCATGAGATTTGGGCATCTTCAGGCATAGGCATGAGTCAAATATAATCAATACTACACAAACATTTGGGTGTAAAAAAGCTATGCTCTCGATGTATCCCACACAATTTTACTGAGGCTCAAAAAACGGATCGCGTCACTTGGTGCAATACCATGCTTATCAGATTCAATGAACGCGCGTCAAATTTGGTATGGGACATAGTAACAGGTGACGAAAC